TCCCCAGGGCGAATCCTGCACATCCTCCATCCCAAGGGGTCCCGTTCTTTCCCGAGGCTGGCTGTATTTTGGGGCATGGGGTCACGGGTTCAGGCACCACCACGCTCCCTGCACCCTCCAAGTTTCCTGGGCACCCAAACCCTTAACCCTGGCATCTGTCTCCAAACCTCTCCGTCAGTCTTTGGGAAGGGCGAGTAGGGACGGGAGTAAAGCTCATGGCCCTGGCTTTGCCCGCTAGAACTAGACACCTGCTGGAACACCCCTGGATGAGATGAGATGAGAAGATCATCCAACCCCCCCAGCATCGCCCCTCTCGGGGCTGCAGCAGGGTGACCCTGGGGCTGTGTCCCCCACAGGTGACCACGGACCTGCTGTCCCGGGGGGGCAAGGACATTGCCTTCGCCAGCTACGGGCCACTCTGGAAGTTCCAGCGCAAGCTGGTGCATGCTGCTCTCTCCATGTTCGGGGAGGGCTCGCTCACGCTCGAGAGGATCAGTAAGTGCCCTCTAACAACCCTCAGACCCTTTCCCAGCTCTGTCTCCTCCCGCACTTGATCTGAGCCGGGCTTTTCCTTTCCCTGTGCCCTGATCCCCTGGGAACCAAGGGGAGACTCACTGCCTCAGCCCAACACCCCCCAGGACGCACTTAGTCTGCGTGGCAGGAGCTCGGTCCCTCCTGCCACCCCCAGTACTTTACCAACACCTCTCCCCGTACGTTTCCCCCCTGAGCTTTGCCTCCTCTCACTCACAGCTGGCGAAGGTGAGGCATGGAGCCAGCTCCCAGCACACCAGGCTCTCCACTCCACTCGGGAGGTGCATTAAGCTGCTCATAGAGACTTCCCCGTGTGTTTCCATCCCCTCTGCTCCTCCCCAGCACCCAGTATCACCCCTCCTGGCCATCCCAGCCCCTCGAGGCTCAGCCCTGCAGGCTGCACACCCTGAATGAGTGGGGGACCCCTCCTTCCATCCCCAGCTGCCCCCTGTACCCTCTCATCTTCACCATCACCCCTTTACCTGCCTCTCCGCTCCACCCAGTCTGCCGGGAGGCTGCGTCCCTGTGCGAGACGCTCAGCGCTGCACAGGATGTGGCCCTGGACATGGGCCCTGAGCTCACACGGGCCGTCACCAACGTGGTCTGCTCCCTCTGCTTTAACTCCTCATACCGGCGCGGGGACCCCGAGTTTGAGGCCATGCTGGAGTACAGCCAGGGTATCGTGGACACTGTGGCCAAGGAGAGCTTGGTGGACATCTTCCCCTGGCTCCAGGTAAGCAAGGACACGGGGACTGTCAGTTCATCTCACCTTGGATCAGAGGAAGGAGCTGGGAGGTGTTGTGCAGGAGGGCGCTACCTGAGCCCCCTGGGGTTTAGGAGGGTCCCTGCCCTCATGTTCCACAAGAGCCAGTATTCTGGGGTCTTTCAGAGGCTGGGTTGAACTGGAGCCCCTCACTATAATGGGGCTTTTCTCCCCCCAGATCTTCCCCAACAAGGACCTGGCCCTGCTGAAGAGATGCCTCAAGGTGCGGGACCAGCTGCTCCAGCAGAAGTTCACTGAACACAAGGTGCCAATGGGGCCAGGACAGGGAGGTGCTCAGGAGCTGGGGGGTGCCGGATCTGGAGGGGCCTGTGCCCAGGACAGCCCAGCTAACACGTGTCCCCTGGCAGGAAGCCTTCTGTGGGGACACCGTGAAGGACCTCATGGATGCACTCCTGCAAGTGAGGCTCAGTGCCGAGAGCAGCAGCAACCTGGCACCAGGGCTGGAGCTCACTGACGACCACCTCCTCATGACAGTGGGGGACATCTTTGGGGCTGGCGTGGAGACCACAACGACTGTGCTCAAATGGGCTGTGCTCTACCTGCTCCACTACCCCGAGGTAGGGTCTGCATCCTATGTTAGGGCCACATCGTGGTGGGTCTTTGGGGAAGGCAGGTGACAAGAGAGATGTCAAAGCTTCGCAAATAAGCAGGATCAGGCTGCGGGCATTTTACTTCCACCTTGCACAACCTGCCAGAGCATGCTGTTGAGGCTGAGTGTACCCCACTGCCACGGGGAGCCCCCACACGAAGGGCAGCCGCGCCCCTGGGCTCCCATCCCAGCCCTTCCTCCTGTCCCAGGTCCAGAGGAAGATCCAGGAGGAGATGGACCAGAAGATCGGGCTGGTGCGTCACCCCCTCCTCAGCGACCGCCCGCTGCTGCCCTACCTGGAGGCCACTATCAGCGAGGTGCTGCGCATCCGGCCCGTGTCCCCCCTGCTCATCCCGCATGTGTCCCTTGCCGACACCAGGTGAGACCCCCACAGGGCACAGCCAGGATGCAGGCAGAGACCTTTGCGGGGAGCAACCATCTCCCTCTGTGTTTGCCTTGCAGCATCGGAGAATACTCCATCCCCAAGGGTGCCAGGGTCGTCATCAACCTCTGGTCCGTGCACCATGACGAGAAGGAGTGGGACAAGCCCGAGGAGTTCAACCCTGGTGGGTTCAGTGTTCCCCGGGGGCAGGGGATGGTGGGGTGGGCACAGCAGGGGAGGCTGAGCCTGCGGGTGGCTTAGTGGTGGGATATCGGATACTGTTCCCCCCCGGCTGGGGCACTTGCACTGTCTCTGCTGTTGCAGCTCAGGGGAGGGACACACGTGATGAACTCAGGCAGGTCCTGGGGACCAATCCTGCCAATGCCAATGGTGCCCCTTCCCCTCACAGGCCGCTTCCTGGATGAGCGGGGCCAGCACATCCACTCACCCTCACCCAGCTACCTGCCCTTCGGGGCCGGGATCCGCGTCTGCCTGGGCAAAGTCCTGGCCAAAATGGAGCTGTTCCTCTTCCTGGCCTGGGTGCTGCAGCGCTTTACACTCGAGTGCCCCCAGGACCAGCCCCTGCCCTCGCTGGACGGCAAGTTCGGTGTCGTGCTGCAGGTGCAGAAGTTTCAGGTGAAGGCCAGGCTGCGGGACGCATGGCGAGTGGCCTCATGATGGGAACCAGCTCTGGATCCCAGCAGTGGTGGGGAGGGATGGGATGGCATGGGACAGGATAGGACATGCCCTGCCTGCCCCATGGGTGCAGGGTTGCCCAAATAAAGCTGTTCCCAAAGCAGCATGGCTCTGTCTGTTTTTGGGGCAGGCCATGGAGGGCAGAGGGAGGCAGGAGGGTGCATGAGATGTATGGTGGCCCCACAGCTCGGTGTGAGCATTAGGCTGAGCTGGGAGTCCATGATCCCTCTGTGGGTCTGTCAACACCGATAGCCCCTTTGCTCCCCAGGGATGTGGGGTGGGGGCCTGTCCAGAAACGATGATAAACCATGTCCCCCAACACATCTGGGGAGGAGAAGGGCACACCCCAGCCAGGTAAAGGGGGATATGAGTGGTGAGCAGTTCGGGGTTAGGGATGTCCAGGCTGTGATCCTAGGTGGTTGATCCTAGCTGCCCCCCCCCCCGCCTCAGTTTTCCCACTGGGAGAAGGGAGAATGAACATGGCATGGGCTGGGAGCTGACTCTGCCATGGGGTAGTGGGAGTTCCCCAGTCCCATCCCAGGACAGTGTGCCCCCACTGCTCAGACCCGTGCTTGCTCCCTGCAGGGAAAAGGAAAGGAACAGCTCAGAGATTCCTTCAGTTTTAGCTCCCACTTGGCTTCCTCTCCCTTGGAACGCAAATGCACTCACTGCTGCTGGCACGTGGAGGCATAAGCACAGGGGTAGCTGCACACGTATGTGCTTACAAGCATGTGTACACACACAAAACCCACACAGGGATGCACTTATGTGCTTGGATGCATATAGACACAGGCAGCTCTCACTGCTCAGGGACACAGAGGAGCACCCAGAAGCACCCAGGCGGCTGAGCTCAGTTGTGCCCCCAGGCACAGTACACGGGCACCACAGAGCCAGGGGCTGCTGGCGTTCATCGTGCAGCGATGTGGCATCTCCCGCCCGCAGTGTTCTGATGTTCGCTGTGCCTGGGTTATGGCCGTCACTTGGAGCAGCACAACCTTCCCGTAACACAAGGGGCCGTGTTTGCGCTTACAGAACACCACCGTGCTGTGGAGGGCAGCACACAATTAGGTTTCTAATTCTCTACTATTTGACCTCTTAATATTTAACTCAATGGCAACACAGCTATGGCTCAAGACACCTGGAGGGAAAGCGGACAGGGAAGACCCACACAACCGCACTTTCCTCCCCTTTTCTAGTTCCCTTCTCTTGCTAGCAGGCAGGAAATCTGACATAAACCCTCCCCACCACTAAACTTTCTACTCTGTGTACGTTTTCTTTTTGAACCACCAACGCTTGGCTTTCACCAGCCCCTTCACCTCTGGCATCTGATGCCAAATGGGTCCTGTCAGCCCGGCGATGACAGAGGGATGATGAAGACAATGTGTTTACAGCCCAACACGATGCTGAGAGCATCTTCCTCCAGTCCATTCTCAGGCGGGCTCAGAGTAGTGTGGAGGAGCTGGAGGAAGAACCTCCACACACGTGCCTGCCCCAGGGGCAATCCTGGGGGTGATTTGTGCAGGTGACCCACCAGAACAGGGCACAGAGGAGCCCAGCCCTGCTGCTGTGGAGTAAGGGCTGAGCCCTACAGTCCTTCCTGCTCTTGTGCCCCTTTCCATCACACCAGGGGTGCCACTGGGTTTTCGATCTCTCCACCTCTGCCAGGCACAGGCTGATGCTGGGTGGGTGAAGGGGGGCTAAGCTCAGAGAGGTTTTGGGGAAAACTTGTCTCAACATGATGCTCTGGGCTTCCCTGGGGTCCAGCCTGGTCCTTCCCCTGCCCCACAGCCTGTCCTCAGGAGCATGTGCAGGCAGGGAGACTTCTCTCCAGGCTCCTGCAGTCAGCAGCACCCTGACACCTTCAGAAGCATTAGCCCAGGACCTCCAGCACCTCTGTGCCCACTTGCCAGGGCACTGTTTGATCTTGGTACGGGAAGGGGTTCTTTTCTTGCCAGAGCCATCTCAGGGCTGGCACAGCACTTGCTGCAAGGTGCGTGCGCTCACTTCAAGCACTCAAGGCCATGGGGCAGAAACAGGGACTTTGGGACCCGGGATGTTTCCAGATGGGAGC